TCCATGGTGCGATGCTTCTCTTTCTCTTTTCCCGTAGGTATCCTCAATTTCTGTGCTAATAACTACCTGGGGCTCTCCAGCCACCCCGAGGTGATTCGTGCTGCTGTGGAGGCCTTGGAGAAATTCGGTGCTGGGCTCAGCTCCGTCCGCTTCATCTGCGGTACCCAGGTACCGGGCACTGGGGCAGCATCCCCCGCTCCAGGGTAGCCTTCCTCAGGGGGGTCTTCCCAGACTTCCCTCTTGGCACTTGCATGCGTGCACAGCACTAAAGTACATGTGCCCGGGCTGAGAAAAAGCCTGCCAAGTCCCTGCTAGCTAAAGATCTGCAAATACGCCAACTTAAACCATTAGAATCCCTCAGAGAGCAAAGAAATGAAACAGCCCTCCAAATTCAGAAAATGAATGTCTTATCCCCCCCTCTTAAGGGTCAAAATTACAGTGTGCCTGTCTTGAAATGGCTCTGTCAAACCCACCCTGATTTATCCCCGTTGGAGCTCTTTCAGAGCCTGGGCTGGATAAGTGCAAAGAAAACTCAGAGCTGCTCCCCTGTGGGTGGGGAGCTGGGAGTCTCCCTGCTGCGCTTTTGGCATCCAAACCCATAACCACGTTTTAGGGCCATGTTTGCAAACACAGATAACTTTTCCCACGCATACACACACCTTTTCTGGATAAAACCTGGCTGTGTCTTCCCCTTGCAGTCAGCATCTAACAGCAGCGGGCAGGTGAGAACTTGTGCTGCCCCACTGGTGACGCTTGCTCCTCTCTTCTCTTTAGAGCATACACAAGGACCTGGAGGAGAAGATCGCACGATTCCACCAGCGGGAAGACGCCATTCTCTATGCCAGCTGCTTTGATGCCAATGCTGGTATCTTTGAGGTTTGTAGGGCTTTCCCTGTGTTGTGTGTGGAGGAGGGAGGTGATGGTGATGTGCCTGCCCTGCCTTCTGGAGGCTCTGATGTAAGCTCTGTGCCTCAGAGAAGATGGCAGCGACTGGTGGTGGAGAACCCTGTCTTGGTGCCCTTGGACTGGAGAAGCCACATGGAGCTGTTTAATCAGCCCTCACCTCCCCCTTCCCCAGCCAGCTCCAGCTGTTGGGGAGGACCCCCATTTCGTGGGAGGTCTGTACTCCCCCTTGAAGCATAGGCAGGGGGAAGGGGTGATCCCCCAGGGTTGCTAGGGAAGGGGAATGAGGTTCTGACCTCAGAAGCCACAGGCAAGAGCCTGGCCTAAGAAAATTGGGGGATAAGGTGACTGGGAAGGAAAGTGTAAAGTCTAGCGGTGCCAGGAGAGATGTGGCAGATGCAATCAAACATAGCCTTGTCCTCCACATCGAGAGATGCTGGAAAATCTCGGTGAGTCAGCACCCCTGAGCAAAGGAAGATCCTTTCTGTTTGGCATGGCCAGGCCCTGCTGACCCCGGAGGATGCGGTGCTGTCGGACGAGCTGAACCATGCCTCCATCATCGACGGGATCCGCCTGTGCAAGGCTAATAAGTACCGCTACAAGCACATGGACATGCAGGACCTGGAGGCCAAGCTGCGGGATGCGCAGGTACGGAGGTCTGCTCCCACCCCAATGCGAGGGTGCTCGCTTGGCTGTGTTGCCTCCACAGCAACCAGCCCCAGAGGGTGAGCTCTGCATTTTCCCGTGCAGTAGGCATCGTTTTTGCTGACTGGCACAGGTAAGCATGGATAGGCGAGCAGCTGTTGCGGAAGCAGCTGGTTGCCATGCAAACCCCTATCTTGGTTAGATATATCCACTCCCTACAGGAGTTGGACTATGTCCCGGTCTCCTCCGCCAGCCCCTCTTCTCAGGGTGACATCTTCACCTTGGGGATACCACTCTCCCTCCCACAGAAACATCGTCTGCGACTGGTGGCCACCGATGGTGCCTTCTCCATGGATGGTGACATCGCACCCCTGAAAGAGATCTGCCAGCTGGCCCAGAAGTATGATGCCCTGGTCTTCATTGACGAGTGCCATGCAACAGGCTTCCTGGGACCCAACGGCCGGTAAGGGGCTGTTTTACCTCTGTTTCTCCCCCTCACCCCGACCCTGATTACCTCTGAGGCAAGGCCAAAGGTGGTGATGGCCAATGTGTTTTTGTGTGGGAACTCCTGGAACCACTGTTTCTTGAAGGCTTCACACCCCACCTCTGCCTCAGCCCTCCCCCACTGCTGATATATCACTTTTGGGGCACCTGAGGGGAGTGAAGGGAGATACTTTAGCACTGACCCATCCCAATGTGACAGCCACTTCTCTGTGTGTAGGGGATGGTGTGACCATCTCATCTGCCTCTCCTGGCAAGCAATTGGACTTCCTATTATCTGAATCCTTCTCCTCTCAGCTATCAAGTTCAAATGCTTGGATCTTGGGGGTTTTGTGGAGTTAGCTCATGCAGTTTGAATAATTCCCTCAGGGCAGCTTTTTCCTCCATCCCTGGAGATTCTTCAGGTGCCAAGCAGTGCACTTGCTGCAGGTGTTTGCTGAGAACAGATGCTTCATGTGCTTGTTTTGTTCGGTGAGCGCCAAGTGCTCCATTGCGTGATCCTTCCTGCTCTCTAGTGGTAAAGGGAGAGAGCCATGTGAGACAACACGGGCAGGAACAACCACTGGGTCCCTCGTCAGATGGAGGGATGGTGCAGGAGATGACAAGAGGAGAAAGCCATCTCTGAAAAAGCCAAAAGTTGCCCTATGAAGAGCTCCCTTCCAGCTCTTTCCTCTCTAGGCAGATCTCATGTAGGATGCTGGCAAGTTCACATCAAGCTGTGAAGTGAGTGAGAAGTGGGAACTAGGCAAGAGAATTTGCCTCATTTTCTCACCGAGGCCCTGGCAAATCTTCCATTGTGGATCAAAATGATGGTGCAAGAGACACCTTTTAAGAGAAGGAATGCCACTCCTGGAGGCACTTCATCACTAACAAGGGAGGTGGCTGTGCTGAGTTTTAATATATTCCAGACCCTGTAGTTGCACTGAGCATTCTCAAATTGAAGTCTTCATAAGGAAGAAAACACAGGATGCTCTGTCTGTCTTGTAATCTCCCTTCCTTGTGCCATGGTAGTCTGTGAGTTCAGGTAGACCTTGTCACTCTCTCCCAGTGGGCTCTCTGGTCCCACCAGCTGCAAAAACAACAGTTTGACTGCACTGAGATGTGCAAGTGCACAACGGCTTGAGGGAATGGTTACGGAGCGCTTCGTGAGTTGTGCTAGTTTCAGTGTGAACCTGATACTGTTGCCTACAATACTGTGTTTCAAGAGAGCCAGCAGCTGGGTGACAGTGCCCTGTCCTGCCTTTTTGGGCTGGAGGATGCGAATCTGAAGAGCACGTTTGCCGTGTCTGGTTGATTCCACTAGTATAGACCTTGACATGAGTGCTTTAGGCCTGTGGGCATTTAGAGCAGCACATCAGCGATGTGCACAGCCCACCTCAAAGAACATCAGCTACTCTAGCCAGGCAATTATTTTTCCCTGGTGTATGCTCATGGTGTGGCATGTCAGAGGTGTGTGCAAGCCCTACATCGATGGCTAATACTCTGTTTGGACTATTAAACTTCTGTGTGGGAAGTTTGAGTGCTCTCCCATCTGGAAGAGATAAATAACCCATGACCTTATCTTGGGAGATCCCAGCTTAGCCTTTCTGCAGGAGAAGGGAAGGTCAACACGTGGGTTGAACTAGCACAGGGGGGGTGTTTTTGCTTTACTGGACGGGGGGACACCAGAGACCTGGCTGGTGGTACTTTGTTTACCTTGAGGCATCAGATGTAGAGCAGCTTCCCTGGTACGTGCTGGCATGGCTGCTAATGTGACATTTCTTTTTCTACAGGGGTACTGATGAGCTCCTGGGAGTGATGGACAAAGTCACCATCATCAACTCCACCCTAGGAAAAGCTCTTGGAGGAGCTGCAGGTGAAGGCATTTCCCTGTTGAAAGACCTCCATGCTCTAAAGAGCTTCACAGCATTGCTTTGATGTTTCCATCCTCTGACTAATGATAGAGCAACAGATGCATGTTGTCCTCTTCTACTGCTGGCATGAGGCTCAATTTGGGTCCCTGCTGCAGGGTCAAGGGAGGTCCTGCCACATGCTCCTTCTGCTGTCATCTTCCCTGTGCACTTGTTTTGGGGTCGAGGTGGAAACTCTTGGTAAAAGGCATGAACTGTGATTTTTAGGCCTGGTTTGTAC